ATATATATATATATATATTATGTTTTCAATATATATATATATATACAAGATAACAATGCATGGTAACTCATGTACTAGATTGGCTTCTGGAAACTTTCAAACTTTGAAAAGGCCTCAGTCAGCCTGTGGAGTTGGCTCAACTGCACGGTCAGCCCAGTCTCCGCACTAACCCGTCCCTGAGATATTTATCAGAGGAAAACACTCTCTCTACGCTCAGCATGCCTTCCAAGTGACTGAGATTACCGTGTACCAGTCTCTTGCCCTTCTCTCTTCCTCTCTCGTTCACCCCGCAATTTAAGGGTTTTTTTGACAGGGACTTCTGACCAATCACAACCCCTTCTTGCCCGAACAGCTTACACTCAGGTCCGCCGTCATCCGACGAGAGTGAAGCTTACATAAACGTCCGCCACTTGTTTACATTCAGTTGTTTACCATATGGCAAATGGTCTAACGTCTGACTACAGGTGGGTCCAATTGACAAGGCCGGTGCTTTTTTTGTTTTCCTTCTGTTTACAAGTCAACAAGTGGTATTACCCGACCGCATGTGGGTCCAATTGACAAGGTCGTGCCTCTTTTGTTCCCACTCTGCTAAAAGGTCAATACTTTATACTTAGATTTTACAAATACGTGTGCCAGGCAGTGAACGGCTCATGTATTTGTAAAATCTAAGTGACTCGTACAACATGGAATTCATATAAAACGGAATTATCAACAGTGTTATGGGGGGGTCAACTGTATTATAAAATAAATGGTAATCAAATTTGCATAGACAAACATCAAATTATCAAACTGATTTATTACACAGATGTTTGTGTAATAAGTCAGTTTTTTGAAGTGCTTTGATACTAATTAATGTTTTATTTGGTTTTCTATCAAAATATAACAATTTTGAATTACAAAAATTTTTTAACTTTCATAACTGTCACAAATTACTTGCTTTTGATATTTCATCCAAAATTTTTTTGGACAAACATACATATAGGCAGGGATGACATTCGAAATATTTAACAAAAGGTTCGTAACAGAAAATTTTTCCTTAACAATTTTTTTTTTCGCTCAAATAGTGCATCGGAAGGCTCTAGTTTAGTAGTGTTACAGAGTATAATACGTATATTTTAATATTTTTAAAAGAATCAAACCATTGAGAAATGTTACATATGTTTAACAAGGTTCGGAAAACTTTGAAAATGTTAACAACGGGTTCAGCCGAACCTGTGTGAACCCGCTGAATATCACCACTGCTTGTAATAAATAATAATAACAAACAAAATAGTTATTATATAAAATTTAAATTTTAAAATCCTTCAGACTTTAAATAAAAATTAACTTTGTCATATTATTTAATTGAAATAATTAATTTTACTTTTCAATATAGGTAATATTGTACGACAATACAGTATACTCCTGATTATCCAGGCTAATCACTTGTAATGGACGCACAAGATAACATGGAAATGCAGATAATCTGCAAGTTTGTTTTATTGACAATTAATCAATTTTTTATTTAGTTTTTAATTTCATTTTAAATTTAACATAATAGTTTATTTATTATGAATAAAAATATGTTTTGAAAATGAAAACTAATTAATTAATATGCTTTAGATGTGATCAGAAAATTCAGAATGTAACTGAATAATATTGAACTAGTGCCAAGCAGTTCACAATTTTTTGTATTATTCATTGAGAATGACAGGTTGCTAGCTAGATATCATTGTAAAACTTCATTAATTATGCAATATTAATGATTTATTGATAAGGAAAGTATTTAAAATATTTTCTTCAAGCAATTTTACAACTTATTTAATGGAGAGAATACAGTCTACACATAAGGCAGGCCATATTTTTCAAGAATCAACTGCACTTATTGTACTTATTTTGGTCATTTAATTTATACCTTGACATTCTGGGAATAGTTGACACTCAACATACCATTTTAAATAGCAAGAGTTAATGACATAGATTTTTTAAATTTAATGCTAATATTTATATTCNCAGTTTAAAGAAATAATAATAAGGAATTACAATTATTCAAATTTTTCCAGATATTGTCATTGAATAAAATTAATATTCTCACCTCAAACAGGTTCTCATCATTTTTTGTAAATGGTAATCCATTTAGTTTATTAATAAGTTGACTCACACCAATGATCTTATGATCTGCATTTCTAATAGGCATGCAGAGAATGCTATGATGGACAAAACCGGTACCTTCATCTACCTATTTAAAAAGTAATGAATATTTATATTCTTGATGTAAATTTTTATCAAGACATAAGCATAGATAATCCACAAACCAAATAATCCACACATAATAATCAAGAGTATACTGTATATATTTTGCTTCTCTGTCTCTACAGAGACTAATATTATTTTTATAAGATACTTACACTGAGTTGGTGAGCTTCATCAGAAGGAGCTGTTGCATGATATGATAGAACTTCAAGTGTGACCCTTTGTTTTGCCATTGCCTTGATTGCCTTTTCATACATTTGTGTATTATGAATTCCCATGCCACAGAATATTCCAAATCCCTAAAAACAATAATCATCTTTTAATCTAACATTATATGAGCTGTTTACATGGTCTGTTCAAAAAGTTCTGGAACAATACTTTAGTTTATTTGATTACAACTACATGTCATATGGGTGATCTGCCAAGAGGATGCCTTCCAAGAAGAGTTTTTTGGAAAACTGGCTCCTATTTAGGTGTTACTAATTTGAAGAAAACCTGAAAAACTCCACATAGCCAGCTCATTGGGAATGCACAAATCCATGACCGATTACCAGTGTAACAGTTTTGACTCCATGCAGGTATGTGCTACTCATCAAAGTAATAATATAGCAACTCTACTTTGTGCTATATCATTGTTGCAGTAATTAAGTGAATATAATATTTGTTTTGTTTTTAAATTATATCCTTTTTTTATATAATATATTTAATTTATTATTTTAAAAAAAATTTTGCCAATAGATGACACTGCATGTAAACTCAGCAAATACAATGTAGACAAAAATTAATAAATATATAAAAATCCAATAAATATTTTGGGATGATATGAATGATGTTATCTAAGTTAGTAGTATATTAGTGGAACTGCCAAGTTTCATAGCAATTGGTCAAATGGCCTAGGAGTGTATAGTAAACAACATTTTCATTTATAGATATAGATGATTAGTTACCAATTTTTATCACAAAAAAACGTTTTTTTTACTGATGACAAAATAAAAATATTTGATATTAACCAAAAATTTGTTCTAGTGGTTCAGTTGAGTATCAAGGTACCACTGTATTTGATTAATGCAATTTTGATATATGTGATAGCATCAAGAGATTAATTAACAGTGTTAATCATGGTATACTGTGTGTGTGTATATACACGAGGGCTGTTCGGAAAGTTCGCGGCCTTGCCTATATGCGGTGCTGCGATCAATTTAATTTTTGGCGGGAATAATTCAGCCATCTTTGCTAAAGATACGATACCAATTTCCGCTTGATTTGTCAAAAAGTTTTGCCACGACAGCTTAGCAGATAGTCAGTGTGCACATGCTTTGTCAAAAATGGAGAAGACGGAGACTCGTGCGGTCATAAAATACCTGACGAAAAAAGGGTTGACCGCATCTCAAATCAAAGCTGACATGGATGAAGTTTTAGGAGAGTCTGCTCCTTCGTACACCACTGTGAAAAAATGGACAGCCCTTTTTAAATCTGGCAGAGAAAGTGTGGAAGATGACCCTCGCAGCGGACGGCCGTCAACTGCTGTCACTGAAGAAAACATCGACAAAGTTCACGATTTGGTATTAGCAGATCGCCGTTTGAAAACGCGTGAGATAGCTGAGACAACAGGCATCTCTGTCGACCGAGTGCACCACATCCTAACCGAAGATTTGGGTATGACGAAGGTCTCAGCAAGGTGGGTGCCGCATCTGCTGACCGCCGAGCAAAAACGTGTTCGCACTTTGATGTCAAAGGAGTGTTTGGACTTCTACCAGAAAAACCCACAGGATTTCTTGCGTCGGTTTGTGACTACTGACGAAACGTGGATCCATTACTACACTCCTGAAACAAAAGAACAGTCGAAGCAATGGAAACACCACAGTTCGCCACCACCAAAGAAGGCAAAGACAGTTCCATCAGCGGGTAAAGTGATGGCCTCGGTTTTTTGGGATGCTAAAGGCATCATCTTTATTGACTACCTAGAAAGAGGAAAGACCATTAATGCTGTCTATTACTGTGAACTTTTGGAAAAACTGAAGAAAGAAATCGAAGAAAAGAGGCCACACTTGAAGAAGAAAAAAGTTCTGTTCCACCACGATAATGCACCTGCACATTCCGCCAGAATCACTGAACAAAAGATAAACGAACTTCGCTTCAATTAGTTCCACATCCACCGTACTCACCTGATTTGGCCCCCAGTGACTTCCAGTTTTTCCAAACCTAAAAAAATTCTTGGCTGGAAAGAGATTCCACTCAAATGACGAAGTCATCTCTGAAGTGAACGAGTATTTTGCACACCTTGACAAATCGACCTATTGTGATGGCATAAAAAAGCTAGAACATCGCTGGAATAAGTGCATTGCTAACAGAGAAGATTACATTGAAAAATAAAAAAAGTTTTAACATTATTTTGTTTGTTTTTCTATGTGAGGCCGCGAACTTTCCGAACAGCCCTCGTATATATATACACATATACACAAGGGCAGGCTGAAAAGTAATGCACATATGTTTGTAGAGCACAAACGAAATGATTTTCAGAAGCATGCCAGGTGGCATATGGAAGTAACATTCCCCCTCTATGTGCATGCGCAGTTTGAGGTTGTTGCATTCATTCAGTATATTTTGAGAAGCGGAAATATGGAGACATGTTCTGGTGCTATGTCAATGCGAGTTAAATAGCGTGCTGTTATCAAATTTTTAACTGCTGAAAAAATTACATTTAAAGGCTGTTTATGGTGATGATGCTGTTGATAGGTCTATTGTAAATTGATGGATAATAAAATTTCATGGTTGCAAGCCTGGAAAAGCCATAATTGTTGATGAAACATGCAGCGGAAGTCCGATCACTGCCACAGACAATTACCATTGCACCTTGTTGTAATGTTTAATTCTTCTCAGTACATACAGACTAAAACACCTCTGACGTTGAGTTTGTCATGTTAGAGGCAGCCTGGTACCAATAATCTTGCAACATGACAACGCTTGTCCACACACCTCGCACACAACTGGAGAGGCTCTGTGAAACCTGAAGTTTGACCGATTCCACACCCTCCTTATTCCCCCGATCTTGCGCCTTGTGATTTTTATTTGTTTCCTCTACTTAAGAGAGACTTCAAGGGTAATCATTACACCTCAGATGATGATGTGAAGGCAGCTGTCAAGTCCTCGAGAAAAGTCAGAAGAATTTTTCAGTGACAGAATGAAAAAACTTGTTACACATTGGGAGAAACGTGTTAGTCATCATTAAGGCTATGTTGAAAAATAAATATATGATTTTGAAGCTTAAGAATTGTACTTTAATGTACTTTTTGCCCAATCTTGCTATTTGTTTTTGTTCGTATTCTACAAGCATGTGTGCATTACTTTTCAGCCTGCCCTCGTGTATATATATGAAGCATGCAATGCCATAACATTGTAAATGTCACTTTTTTTCTAAATATGATTTATTGAGAATTGAATTCTAAATGCAATGTTTTCTGCCACAAAAGAATATTATGGTGATTTTGACAGTGTAAGTGGCTGTATTTTGAAGATGAATTTATGTGAAAATATAACATTTAAAGTACCAGAGTGCAAGTCATATGACTTTTGGCACATAAAACATTGTGACTTATATTTACATCATTTTGATATTCCAGAGAATTTGTAATCCAGTGAGTTTTTTACCATTTCATTGTAAAATTGAAATGAATTCATTCATTGGAAAAAAAATGTTTTTTAACTCTCCTGAAAAGTTTCTTTTTTGGCATTTACAACATTATGGCATTGCACACTTCATATATACACACATAATATACTTCTTGCCTAATATACTGTACATACAATGCCTTTTTTATAGCTTGTGTCTCCCCTTTTTTTATAGTTCTGTGGGCACCACAGTGTTGCAGAAACAACATAGAAACAAAAAGGCAATCTATGCAATGATTTGAGAAAACATTGCTACAGCCAAAGAAAGTGCAATAGATAAGGTCAAAGGTGAAAGTTATGCTGGCACGTTTTTTATACATCAAAGACATTGTGTATCTTGAATTCTTACCAGATGGACAAGCAATGAATCAAAGCTATTACATGGAAATGCTAAGGCACCTAAGAGAAAAAAGACCTGAACTTTTCTGAAAAAAATTCATGGATCCTGCATCATGAGTCTGCTGACTCACAACTTGTTGGCTAAAACAGGAACACTTGCATTTTCCCACCCACCCTACTCGTCTGACCTCACTCCTGCAGACTTTTTCCTATTCCCTATGCTGTAAACCACTTTGAAAGAATGTAGATTTCAGATGATTAAAAAGATCAAGAAAAATTTGCAAGAGCACCTATGAACGATTTTGAAAAATGCTTATCAGATACATTTCCAAAAAAGGCAGCATCATTGGAAGTGGTGTATTGATAAAGGAGTAGAGTACTTTGAAGGAGACAAGGCCAACTAAATTGTATGTATGTCCAAAAAATGAAGAAAAAATAAGTTCTAGAACTTTCTGAACAGGCCATGTAGAGCCCAATCAGCCTAAGTCCAGTTGTTACAATATTATAGGAAAGCAAATTTAGAGTTATGCTTCACTATTTTGTCATTTTTTCATGACACAGAAGATGAAGTAATCTAATGTTGTTTATAAACAAAAAGAATGTTAGCTTTGGGTACTCGAAACTTTATTCTTTCTATTTTCTTTTAGAATGAAAACCCTGATTTTGAAAAAATGGTCTTAGATTGGTCTCTGAACAATTCATATATATCTAATTATACTTGTAGTAAGTATATTTTCATTCACTTGCTTTAGATAAATTATGATTCTTTGTTTTATTAAAAAAATTCATAATTCATAATCATTTTCTTTATTATTATTAAACATAATTAGTATATTTTCAAAGAGCAAATTATTCATGTTATTATGTACTTAAACAAACACAATAATTCAACTTAATACAATATGTACTGTAAAATAGTAACAGTAAATGTGTCCAAATTTAATATTAATTTATAACCAATTGTTCAAAAACAGCTATTCATTAATATGAATAGCTGTTTTTGAACAATTGGTTATAAATTAATNGAACATATGACTAAATATATTCTCTGTGTAATAAAAGTGTATGAAAGTAATGAAAAATTGGAATAATTTTTAATGAAAGTATTTTCATTAAAAATTATTCCATTTTTGATTTATAAGGTTATTTCAATTTTTCTATTCCAAGAATTCCTTCAGCGACATAGCCAATGCAGTTTAGGTGTCAGCTGGATCAAATCTGTGTAGGTAAAAAAAACACGGAATTTTTTGGGTGTCTGTTCCTCACCATCTGGTTAAATCTATAATGGGTTTGAAAAAAGTCCTTCCTAGTGCCCACAGAGAAAAAGTCAAAGAAAACGTATACAAGTTCATATTCATGTTTTATAACTTAATTTCATTATTCATTACATTATGAATTCAATAATGAAATAAACAATAAATGTTTTCAGATGTATACATTATTAATATTAAGTATAGCCAGTTAAATCAATGAATTTATAGTATAATGAAAATTATAGAAAAAGAATCAATATACTTACTTCTCCTGTTGCAGCCACATAACCTGTTATTCCAATATTAATGGGAAATCTTCCTTCAAATGGACTAGATATATTAAAAAAATATAATTTTTTTCAAATGATATGGTTATTATCTTTAACAATTGAGTTGTGCCAGTCATCTATCTGACATCTTTCAAAGGAAAATTTTTGAATTGAAATAACATGATTTCCAGTTTGTATCAGAAGTTCATATATAGTTAATCAGGCCTCCTGTCCCTAAGGTTTCCATATCTGCTGTTGACTTTCATTTATCTAACACCATTCTCAAGATTAAGGAAGGGCAGACAACAGTGAAAATTTATAGGACTACAATTTTTTCAAATTGCAACCTCAATCATATTTTATCTGTAAATGCATATTCATTGAATGAAGTGCAGTTTCCGCTGTAGGGGCATATTTCTATTTGTTTTCATTAAATGATCAATAAAACAATGAACATATATAATTAAGACAGTATGTTTTCTAAGAGAAATGAATGTAATTCAGCCTCTATTCATTATTACCTATATTGCAATTTTCATTCATTTATTTATATAAAAAATTAAAAGTATAATATAATGGATTTTAAATATATTTTTTAAAATTAGTCTGTAAAAAATATAACAAAATTTAAAATTTTTCATTTTAACTCCTTCATATTATCAAAGATGTAAATGAGAGAAAAATCTGTTAACAAGGCTCAAGGGAGTGCAGAAAAACCGAAACCTCCTCATAAAGCAAAGTATCTTCTAGCTCTTCTATACCAAACCTATTTCATCTTTATATCAAGAAACTCTGCTTTCATTAATATTATGTAGACAACATGTTATTAGTTTTTTTTTAATTCTAACTTTATACATATTTACAAAAAACATAAAATACTTATAAGTATTTAAATGATTATGTTACTTCAAATTATAAAAATAATTTTTTTATATTGCAGAAAAATTTTTATTTTTTTATTTATTTTAATTATAATCCATAATTTTCTTTTGAAAATACTACAAGTTTTACACAATGGTTATTATTTTTTGATCTTAAAGACAAGATAATCTTCTAAAATTAAGAGAAATCCTATATAAATATTAAAAACAAAAATGCCATCATGATATTTACAGAAATGAAAGATAAATGTTCTTATTTAAAACTCCTTTTTGCAATTATACAAATGGAAAAATTATTATAGAAGATTAAGATGAAAATTCTTAAGGTCATAAAAAAAGTTCTATTAAATGTATTTATTTCTAAAGTGTCAGATAGTTTTCATGAAGAAAGAAATAACTCTCCACTATGAATGAATTAAATGAGCCACTTAAAATAATTTTGCATATCATTAATGCGAAGCTGAGCAAAAACACACATCCCAGATAGCAGTAAAGAGCACTTATTTCCAAGATATGAAAATATAAATATAAAATGTTTTTTGTAATTAGAAAAGAAAACTTCATTATGTAAATATTTCATGTAACATCAGTAAAGTAATAGTATATATTTCACATATCATGCCTTTTGAAAAAGAGTATGAACTACTGCTTTATCTATTCAGCAGTATTGAAAAACTGCTACAGCTACTATTACATTATTTATTTGGAATGTCAGATCAATTCTGTTTGAATCAAATTTTTTTGGAAATTTGTTTGAATTTATTTAAAGTTTATTTAATAAACAATTTTAGCATTCCTGTGTGAATAAAAACTATTATATTAAATTTAGTGATAACTTGATTGTTTATTATATATCTAATAAAATATTTATTTTATAAAAAAAAAATTAAATTGCAGTTATGTTAGAAAATTTTAAATTTTGTAATGTAAAATATTTGTATCCATTTTAATAAAGTTTTAAAAATATATATTTATAATCAGTTCTGAAACCAAGCAAAATAACAAATTTTGATATAATCTTTCACATTACATTGTTGTAAATTGTAGAATTTACTTTTATTTTATTCACAGAAATTCCAGTTTATATAAATTTTGTTATAATAATAGTAATAAAATATTTCCAGTTTAAAGAAATAATAATAAGGAATTACAATTATTCAAATTTTTCCAGATATTGTCATTGAATAAAATTAATATTCTCACCTCAAACAGGTTCTCATCATTTTTTGTAAATGGTAATCCATTTAGTTTATTAATAAGTTGACTCACACCAATGATCTTATGATCTGCATTTCTAATAGGCATGCAGAGAATGCTATGATGGACAAAACCGGTACCTTCATCTACCTATTTAAAAAGTAATGAATATTTATATTAATTTATTATTGATTTTAAAATGTAATTAAATTTGAGGATACTTCAAGAAATACTAAAAATTTAGGATAATTTTTATTTAAAAATATTTGATACTTACACTAGGATCAAATCTCTCATCTTCATATGTATTTGGAATATTTAAAGTCTAAAACATATATTAAGTTTAATGAATTTTATGTATTTTATATATTACAATTGAAAAAAGATAAAAGAAAAAAACAATAATATAATAATTAAAAATAGAAATGAATTGCACAATACAAGAATCTATGCAAAACTAAAATATATAATACTTTGCTTTATGAGAAAAAATATAAAATTATCTTCTAGCTCTTAAGTTTTAAGATAGGTGTAAATTTGTATCCTTTTTCTTCTAAGTTTTAATTGAATACATCTAATATTCTCCATCCTTATAAATAATTAGATAACATTTGACATTAAATTATCAACAAAAATTTTATATAAGTCTTTCATGTTACATTAATTCATTACTTCTTTTATGATTAATTGTTTCTTACAGATTATTTTTAAATGTTTGTTATATTCGTAATTAAAAATAGGCTAGTGTTTCCCCAACCTGTGTGTTGTGAGAGTGCCTCAAGTGTGTTGCAGAAAAATTAAATATATTTTTAGAATTTTTAATAAACTCTTTTTTTAAAATTTCATTTATCTTTCATCTTTTTACTGCCAGCCGACCGAGGAGAGAAGGAAGTGTTCACTAAAATGTCGATTGTTGCAAACTTTTCAGTATCAGCATATCCCTTTCACAAAAGTTGCATCTGTCTATGCATATGCCATCATACCAACTCTGGAGCTTCTATAAATGGTGCAGCTTACCAGCTTAAAGAGTGATGCTAGTTCTTTATGCATTGATTAAAATAGTCTTTTAATTTTTATAGTATGTTTGTAAAATTGTGAGTTTTTGTCTTGGAAATTTAACTTCTGTATTATTAAAAAGTTTTAAAATCAACAGTAATTTATTTTAAATTTTAAACATTTTTATTTAAAAAATTATAGTGTGTTGCAGGAATCTTACTAAATTCAAAGTATGTTGTTAATCCAAAAAGGTTAAGTTGGGAAACACTGAAATATGTATTGATAATAAAAGTATAAACTAGCCTATTTTAAAATGTCCTGCTTTGTTTTTTTAAACAATATTACACAGAGAACATATGACTAAATATATTCTCTGTGTAATAAAAGTGTATGAAAGTAATGAAAAATTGGAATAATTTTTAATGAAAGTATTTTCATTAAAAATTATTCCATTTTTGATTTATAAGGTTATTTCAATTTTTCTATTCCAAGAATTCCTTCAGCGACATAGCCAATGCAGTTTAGGTGTCAGCTGGATCAAATCTGTGTAGGTAAAAAAAACACTGAATTTTTTGGGTCTGTTCCTCACCATCTGGTTAAATCTATAATGGGTTTGAAAAAAGTCCTTCCTAGTGCCCACAGAGAAAAAGTCAAAGAAAATGTATACAAGTTCATATTCATGTTTTATAACTTAATTTCATTATTCATTACATTATGAATTCAATAATGAAATAAACAATAAATGTTTTCAGATGTATACATTATTAATATTAAGTATAGCCAGTTAAATCAATGAATTTATAGTATAATGAAAATTATAGAAAAAGAATCAATATACTTACTTCTCCTGTTGCAGCCACATAACCTGTTATTCCAATATTAATGGGAAATCTTCCTTCAAATGGACTAGATATATTAAAAAAATATAATTTTTTTCAAATGATATGGTTATTATACAATTATAATAAAGTTTACTGAATTTTTCAAATTAGCAATTATAAAAATTTGCACAAGAAGTGATGANCGACTTTTCAATTATCCGACCAATCCCAATCGGGTGAGAAAAAATATAAAATTATCTTCTAGCTCTTAAGTTTTAAGATAGGTGTAAATTTGTATCCTTTTTCTTCTAAGTTTTAATTGAATACATCTAATATTCTCCATCCTTATAAATAATTAGATAACATTTGACATTAAATTATCAACAAAAATTTTATATAAGTCTTTCATGTTACATTAATTCATTACTTCTTTTATGATTAATTGTTTCTTACAGATTATTTTTAAATGTTTGTTATATTCGTAATTAAAAATAGGCTAGTGTTTCCCCAACCTGTGTGTTGTGAGAGTGCCTCAAGTGTGTTGCAGAAAAATTAAATATATTTTTAGAATTTTTAATAAACTCTTTTTTTAAAATTTCATTTATCTTTCATCTTTTTACTGCCAGCCGACCGAGGGGAGAAGGAAGTGTTCACTAAAATGTCGATTGTTGCAAACTTTTCAGTATCAGCATATCCCTTTCACAAAAGTTTCATCTGTCTATGCATATGCCATCATACCAACTCTGGAGCTTCTATAAATGGTGCAGCTTACCAGCTTAAAGAGTGATGCTAGTTCTTTATGCATTGATTAAAATAGTCTTTTAATTTTTATAGTATGTTTGTAAAATTGTGAGTTTTTGTCTTGGAAATTTAACTTCTGTATTATTAAAAAGTTTTAAAATCAACAGTAATTTATTTTAAATTTTAAACATTTTTATTTAAAAAATTATAGTGTGTTGCAGGAATCTTACTAAATTCAAAGTATGTTGTTAATCCAAAAAGGTTAAGTTGGGAAACACTGAAATATGTATTGATAATAAAAGTATAAACTAGCCTATTTTAAAATGTCCTGCTTTGTTTTTTTAAACAATATTACACAGAGNTCTACAAAAGTTGTGTGTATCTGTGTGTGCTGGCATACCAACTCTTTGGAGCTTCTATAAACATTGCAGCTTACTAGCTTAAAGACTGATAATAGCTCTTTACACATTGATTCAAATAGTCTTTTTATTTTTATAGTATATTTGTAAAATTGTGAGTTTTTGTCTTGGAAATTTAACTTCTGTATTATTAAAAAGTTTTAAAATCAACAGTAATTTAAATTTTAAACATTTTTATTTAAAAAAGTATGATATGTTGAAGAAATCTTATTAAATTCAAGGTATTGCTAATCCAAAAAGTTGGAAAAAAACGCTGTTCTATATAGTTGCCCATGTCTCAATGTACCATTGACAACATTCCCACAATCACTGAAAGCTGCTTGAAAATTCCTTTGCAATCCTCTTCAATTCTTGGATCATATTGCCTTGAATGTCTTCTAAATCATTATATGGTTTATTGCATCTTGAGGTATGGAAAGAGAAAAAATTACATGGTGCAACATCTGGTGAATATGGTGGGTGAATGAGTATGAGGACTTGTTTTCAAGCTAAAAACTGCTTCACAATTTCAGTTGAATGGGCTGGAGCATTGTTGTGAAANTATCAAAAAAATTTTTGAATCAACTGTAATTTACTTTAAAAATTATGTTGTTCTGCAGGAATCTTACTAAATTCAAAGTGTGTTGCTAATGGGAATTTCCATATTATCAAAAAAATTTTTGAATCAACTGTAATTTACTTTAAAAATTATGTTGTGTTGCAGGAATCTTACTAAATTCAAAGTATGTTGTTAATCCAAAAAGGTTAAGTTGGGAAACACTGAAATATGTATTGATAATAAAAGTATAAACTAGCCTATTTTAAAATGTCCTGCTTTGTTTTTTTAAACAATATTACACAGAGAACATATGACTAAATATATTCTCTGTGTAATAAAAGTGTATGAAAGTAATGAAAAATTGGAATAATTTTTAATGAAAGTATTTTCATTAAAAATTATTCCATTTTTGATTTATAAGGTTATTTCAATTTTTCTATTCCAAGAATTCCTTCAGCGACATAGCCAATGCAGTTTAGGTGTCAGCTGGATCAAATCTGTGTAGGTAAAAAAAACACTGAATTTTTTGGGTCTGTTCCTCACCATCTGGTTAAATCTATAATGGGTTTGAAAAAAGTCCTTCCTAGTGCCCACAGAGAAAAAGTCAAAGAAAATGTATACAAGTTCATATTCATGTTTTATAACTTAATTTCATTATTCATTACATTATGAATTCAATAATGAAATAAACAATAAATGTTTTCAGATGTATACATTATTAATATTAAGTATAGCCAGTTAAATCAATGAATTTATAGTATAATGAAAATTATAGAAAAAGAATCAATATACTTACTTCTCCTGTTGCAGCCACATAACCTGTTATTCCAATATTAATGGGAAATCTTCCTTCAAATGGACTAGATATATTAAAAAAATATAATTTTTTTCAAATGATATGGTTATTATACAATTATAATAAAGTTTACTGAATTTTTCAAATTAGCAATTATAAAAATTTGCACAAGAAGTGATGAAGGATTAACCCCTAACTGCTTTAAAGCCACATCAGAATTACTCAAAGCAATATTATGATAATGGTAATATTTTATATAAAAATCTACATTGTTATTTATATGCAATGTTTTTTATACTAAATAACAGGATTTCTAAATAACTTTTTTCCATAACAGGTAAGCTACTGTCTTAGCAATTACAAGATAATTTCAATTATATCATATGTCACTTTATCAGTAAGTTAAATATTGAAAAAAGAGGAAGTTTATTAATCTGATTATCAGTTTACATAAAACAAGTCCTTCAAGTCCATTTCATTATGTAGCTAACCTTGCAATATCTCCTAATTGTTTTGAGAAATGTGAGTCAAAAGCTATTTGAGAAGCCTAAAAATATAATTTATATTTAAAGCAATATGATCCATATACTAATTGTATATTTTTAAGATAAAAGTAAACAATTCCCATTAATAAATGATAACAGACAATACTACCACTCAAAACTGGATATAGTTGAATTAAAACCACTGAGAAATTAAAAAATTGCTGGATTTTAGGTTAAGTGCTAACATTTTTGCCATGTTAAATGAGCATCATCCAACCACCTCCCCAGTTGGGGAATTAATTTGCTTGATCATGCCCATTCAACATGGACAAAAACATTATCACTTATTAAAAAACTGCTAAATTTTAGGTTTTCTTAGTGGTTTTGATAACAGAAATACAGTAGAACCTCTATTATCCGACCCCCGATTAACCGACCGTCCTAGTCGGCAAATTTCAAATGTCCGCTAGTGATGTGGCGCTACAATATTTGGCTATGTCTTCACTACTGTAATATTATTTTTACGTGTTTTAGCTGGCAACACTAGATCGACCATGAAAGGGAGCCAGAGGCTTAATTTTCTAATTTTTAACGATACAATAGCGACGATTATTATTTTTAAAAATTTTGTTAGGCTTAACATCGATGAAAATTCAACGGGAAGTAGGTTAATAGCGATATACTAATATACTAATTACATGGGATATAATAATATACTACCTTAATAATGGATTTTTTCATACTTTTCGGTTATCCGACTTTTCAATTATCCGACCAATCCCAATCGGGTCGGATAATCGAGGCTCTACTGTATCTAAATTAAGATTTGAATCTGCAATTTGACATACAAAGAACAAAACTGTCATAAAATTTACCAATCTAATCGTAAAGTAAGATGATTGTAAAGTTAATTGTTCATTTAATCTTACACTTAATTAAATGTAAGAATAAAAATCTAACTTTAATTAAATGAATCTGAAAAAATAAATAATATTAGATTGAGATATAAGACAACACAACACATGAATGATCTTCTAAAGTGCCTCCCAGGTGGACTTTCTTGGAAAACTGACTCCTATTTAGATGTTAGACACAGGAAGAAAACCTAGAAAACTACACATGACCAACCTGTTGGTGAGGCATACATCTATAACCAACTAACTATCAGTGTTCAGTGGTTTTATCCACTCAGTCACCGATGGACTAAATAAAATTGCCTTAGTTAATAAGAGTAATGAATTAAAAATTAAAAAATAAGTTGTATTTCAAGATATCAGTTTATAATTAGTCAAAATAAAACACTAATACACATATATTGCATATTGTATAAACATTTCTCATAAAAAGAAAATACTAATTTTCATGTTACTGGGACTAAAAATTATAAGAGGAAAGCACAATTAAAAAAAATTCTTTTGTAGCCAAATTTATACGAAATAATAAATTTAGTAAATTGATATTAATCAAACAAATTTAACATTTAAAATATAATTAATTTATATTTTAATTATTAAATAAATTTTCCTGCCAATAAAAGACTATAACAATGGTTCTATAAGTTTTTTTTTCTAAACCATTACAATTTTACAACTTTTTTCAATTAATATTTTTTTAAAAAATGGGAGAAGTGCATCAAATATTTTTCTTAACGTGTACTTAAGTACACCACATTAGCGTTAACTCTACTGAAGGATCTTTTTTTTCTATTTGACTTCATTTATCGATTCTCGTTTAACCTCGATTTATAATTCTAAATATTCCAGCAACGACTGCGGGAAACAAATAAAACATTGTAGTCTTTTGTAATGGTTTTCTCGTTTCCGTAATGGTTGTTTATTTCGCGTGATTCGTCCAATTCTTCGTGAAAAATGGCGTCATTTTTATTTCTAGGTTTGGAATATCGATTTGCATAATCTGATGGATTTATAACACAGTCAATTTATTTTGAGATTGAAGTTCAAAAACGATCTTCTTCACTATTAAGAAAATATATTCTGCCAATATACTGATAATTGATTTTCCGTTCGCGTGATTCATTGGAAGCTGAACTGACTCGAGTTTCAAATTTTCAAGAATTATGATGCATATAAATTATAATATCCAGCAGAATTTCATATTGAATTATAGTATTTCCCAGAATAAAAATGGAGACGATGTGTTTCGTCTTGAATGTGTATCAATGGACGATGAAGCTAAGCAAAAAAAATTAGAAACGCGAGTCGTGTTCATTTCGTCCAGAAAATATACAGTACACTCGGCCTTTATTTATCACGTCGTAATTCAGTTGTGTCCAAACTACGGCCCACGAACATATTTGCCACATAACTTAAGTACCATTAATGTATTAAATCAGCAGTTTAGGGGATGAGAGATTCGTTTGTATCTGATTGCTGAAGATGATCGCTTAACGAATTTCTAACTTTTAAAGTTGATTTTAATATTATAAAGTTTATGAACAGTTGTGAAAAAGCAAAGTAAAAATAAGAACAGGAATTGTGTACAGTATGTAAGGGAAAATTTACAAGTAACATTCAGTTTCGTGAAGATCAGATGAATTATTAGCGAGGTTGCGGCCGACGTTTTCAACGCGAAAACGTGTACGTCGGACGTTCAGCGCTGCCTTCCTGTAAGCTAGCGGCCGCAACCTCGCTATTTTCTAATTTGTGTACGGCGTGTAACCTAGCCCCATTAGATTACTGTGTGTGGGATGGATAAAGGTTATTGTGTACAGTACCAGACGAAGGCACAAACACGTGAGGAGTTACTTTCGCATATTACGCAGGCTGCTAAGCAGAAGGCACATGCGATTTATAAACGGGGAAGACCAAGTGTATTAAAATGGATGGAGACATTTTTGAAAGTCTCTTGTAAACTTGTAAAGTTTACAAAGCTGAAAATAGATCTGTATTTTTAATACAGATCTATAATTTTATTTACTTTTATTTACTTTACTTTTCTTTTTAATGTTCTTATTTAAAATTAACAATAATAATAATAATAATAAGTAATCGTTGTTAGCATAAAGGATAGGCAACCTGTTATTCAGAGACTAAGCAATTACAAATATTAAAATATACATTTTGTAAACAATATACCGAAAATTATAACCGTTTATTATAGAAAAATGCATTTTATTTTTAACTTTCAAATTAGCCAAGATTACGGCACCATTCACAGTGAATTTCTTCGTAACTATTGAGAATAGGACCCAAGTTTATAGAAACTTTTTTGCTCAAAATGACTCCGAAATAAACTCCGTAAGTGGCGGTACATCCTATTATCCTTTTGAATTTCAAAAAACTTTATATAAGTTAAAAGAATGTATGAAATTTTATAACTGAGTACGGTCATTTTGAAATTTACGAGTTTAATTTTATTATTAAATAACTCGTTTCTTATTCTTTATACTGTACTTTCAAATTTAATTCCTACGATTAAAAACGTTTAATTGAGATTAATTTAAAGTATCAAATATTTATACTTAGTAATAATATTTATTTGTAGAAGCTTTCATTTTATTGTAAACAGAAATTTATTATTGCAAATTGAAAATGCATTGCAATTCACTTTCCAGATTTACTTTATTTCTTTCCTAAAGTATGAGTCTTTTTCTCGTTTTGTATTATTAAATATAAATACTGTATAGTAGAAACTGTATGGGGTTTCAAAAATCGCCTGTTAGTAAATGATAAATGAAGCATTTCTCATCAAAATGTACAGAACAAATAATCGCACAAGTACTTGCCGTAGGTTTAAAGCTTTTCTTTTTTATCTTCGAAACCTACTCATAAACAAGATTTCGAAAGGAGGAAGGAGATATATTTCCTTTTTTTTAGTCTTTCACTGTAAACATTTTCCACGTCAGATATATCCAGATCCAGAAAATAATAAACCTGTAAAAGAACTTTCCAGGTTTATTATTTGTATATTCATATACACACAAAGCGGACATTTTGCTCTTTTTAAAGTAAAACTTCCTTTAATTTGAGAGAAATAAACTTAGCTTGTGATTTAGGTTCACTATCGTGTTTTTTTACGCTACAAGAAGCAGGGTATCACTATCATATGACTCGTTATACCATGCGAAAACAACTTGTTAAATTCTGTAAGAGCTATTTAGAGAAAGTAATCGTTTATGGATTCCTAGTGTTCCAGAGTATTGTGAAAAATATAAGAAATTACTATATTTTCTAATCTTTCTAATCTCTTGTGCTGAATGCCTTAGGAAAATTCAATATAATCTTTTTAATTATTTATTTATTGTTCCGATAAAATTTATATTACTTTTTGTTTATTTTACAATAAATAAATAAAATAGGATAAGTTTGACTATTTATTTTTTTATATAAATTATGATATTGTAACAATATTGCTTTAAAGTTGTATTATGTGATGCAATATTTTATAACACATCAGTGTAAAATCTCACATATGCTTTAAGATCGCGTGCCTTCAAAATACAGATGATACTTGCTATATCTTTTGTCTAATAGAATTGAAAATTTTTACATTTAAAAAGAGAAAAATAATTTTATTAAAATAGACAGAATAGTAGAAAACCGACAAAAATTCAAAAATATGCGGATTATTTATTAAACAATAAATGTTTTCTGCAGAAGAAAATCAAATTTTATAAAAACATATATAAAAATGAGTGAATATTTCCTATTTTTACTTTCTTCCGCTGTTATATAACAGACCTGTTCTGGCCTATAACAGAGGGAAAATATGGCGATCAGTCAAACAAATTATCCTCAAGAATTTTACATTTTTAATAAAATCTCGTAACAGATAATGCCACATGCAATTTAACATTTTTGCGGGGAAAGTTATGCAACTCGTTGCTGGATTTTTTTATTAGAGACATAAATGCATAATAAACTATAATATAATCATTCATAGTTTCCATTACGGCGAAGCTGTTTTGGTTGATGAGATGAGGTAAAGCAATCTACAAGGGCAATTTGCATCCTTGTTAGATTTTCCTTGATGGAGAGGGGAAGACTTTCTATGAAAAACTGGCCTCTACTTATAGCAAAGCTGCAATGCGTGAAGTTAGTCATTACATATGAGGAGGAATGAGAGATAAAATGATGATTGCCCACGCAATTTTGACCACGAGTTTTCGTAAATATTTAGATTGTATTTGAATCCATCACGATAGTAGGAAGCTACCTTTCAATTACCACAGATAAATTGTTAGATTTAGAAATGCATTTATAAACTGGAGGAAAAAAGATTATTTAGAAAATAAAAATTGTTAATTCATTTTAGAATTAAGCATTGTATTCTAGGAATCATAAACTGTATTTGAATTTAAAAGAATTAGGAAATTTCTATTTCCTGCCAAAAAAGGAGGTGAATAAATATCTTAATTATTTTACCTTGTTCGAGAAAAAGATTCTTCATTTTCCATGTCAGATGCATCCAGATCGAAGACTCTAGAGAAATTTCCCTGCATATAACAAATGTTAACAGATTAAATTACATTAATCTCAATAATAGCCTAAGGAATTTAATTAAAGGAATTGAATTGGATATTTTAAACTCTTAGATTAGAATTAAAAATGACTAATCTACATGTAATGTTTAAATTATAAAATCTCTCTTAATTTAAATAAGCTAATTTTTATTTTATCAAAGTATTTTTCATTTCAAAATTCAAAATATTTAATACGTCGATCATCATTAATAACCATTTACTGTATTTTTTTCATAATTATAATAATATTAAAAAATCTGAAATACAGTAACTGCTCTGGTTATGATTAAAACCAGTGGTGTTCAAGCTGCTCCTTGGAACCCAACTCTTCTACAAGAAACCTTCGAGATTTTCGCAAAAATATTTATTATGAAATGTTTACTTTTACTATAAATTTTGACAAATAAAAGCTTCTAGAAGCAATGCAGAAATATTTTCACACGTTCTTCGATTCTTGAAATTTTACTGTTTATGATTGTTAAAACTATATTCATGTATCAGTTCCATTGATGTTAAACGTCTGAAAATCACTGATTCAAATCATTGAGCTATAATAAATTAAAGCCGAAATAAAATACAAATTTGTATATACTCTCATAAATAAAACTATCATTTACAAATTATCATACAAACAATTCGTTATTTCACTCAATGGCGAATCCAGAAGAACCCAAAGTTCGAACAAATAAATCTTAATTTTGTGTGTGTCAGTGGAGGAGGAATTAAGACTCAAGTTCAGTGAAATTGGATGGATCTACAGGGACTAAAGTTATGGTATCTTTCACTAGATATAATAATCGAATAACAATTTAAAAACATATTTTACTTAGTGCATTTATCAAGAAGTAATTACATGAAAAAATGGTGCTAAATTCAATATCTTTAAACATTTAGATTTTGCGAAAACATTAGCTTAATCAATATTTATATAAAACAAAAATGAATAAAGTTGGTTCAACAGTTTAGGCTGTAGATCGCAAATACAGACTGACAGGCATATGATACTTTAAGTCGAAAAATGATATTTGCATATACACGATTTTACGTAAACATCATTTATATGAATAGGTCCACATAACTAATGAAGATTCGTGATTTCCAAATCTAAATACGAAGGAATTATAGGTACAAACATTACTAACGACATCATTTGTTATATTTAAAAATATAGAAAAATGTTTTATTTGGATCGCAAAGCATTTCCTGAATATTTACATATCAGGAAATGTTTCGCGATATCAGCTACGTTCTATATCTCATATCTCAGATTGCTTACTCAAACAAACCATACTAAACAATATTTTATGACTTAATCATACATAATTAAACTTTCCATAAATCAAGATCACTTGAGATAAATTCTAAACTGCTGGAAATTATGATTTATCTAAAACTCTAAGCAGAATACAAGCAGAACACATTCTACTTTACTTTTAAATTTATCATCTGTATATGTCTATTATTATTTAAGAAACCTGAACTTTTGACATTAAAATAGTTTTTTTTTTTATATAATGTTATTGATAGATATATACATAAATATAAGGAAATCATAAAATTCCAATACACAATCCTTTCAAGAAAGATTATAGAGCCATTCAATGTAAAATAATCCGATTTCCCAGGATAAGAAATCTAATATATTTCAAAATGTCTTTAATTTAAATAAAAATTTATTTAAAAGATGTTTATATATTTTTTATGTCCTAAGGGTATAGGGCATTAAAAAATAAAATTATTTGATGTTCTTGTTGATTAAAATTAGCATTTCTTTTTTAAAATTTAACCAGTTAATCATAAGAATAATTCATTTAAAATATTAATACATAACCTCTATTTCTGTAATTATAATGAAGAACTCTTGGAGATTAAAAATCTCCAAGAGTTCTTCATTATAATTACATACTTTGGTTCCATACAGTGGTACCTCAGGATACGAAATTAATCCGTTCCGAAACTGGGATCGTATCATGAAAATGTCGTGAGGTGAATCATTTTTCCCCCATACGATTACATGTAAAACCAAATAATTCGTTCAACACGAAAAACACACTCAAATTAAAGCTAACTTGTAAGTAGTACATTAAAAAAATAACTATAGTAAGGAAAACACTGAAAAATGCGTTTTGTAGTTGTAAATGTATAAATAACCATTATAGAATAATAATTGATAAAAAAAATAATTTTATTTGCACTTTACCTTTTAGGATAGACTACGGCGGAGGTGTAAACTGGTGGCGGAAGAGAGGGAGAAGGGAAATGATACTAAAACTTAACTTACATAACATAATGTAACAATAACTTAAAAATAACTTAGAAAAGATTAAAAAGTTGGGTTGTTTTCTATATATTTTTTAAAATTTTTATTCACTGCTTTTTTCTTTCTTTCCTTCACTTCCACCAGCACTTTCACTGGATAGAGGTCACTTGGTAAAATATCTATCCAAAGAGGCTTGGCTTTGCCTACTTTTTAAAATGTTTCTAAAATGACTTAGGCAAATGTCATTTTTCTGAACAGCAATACAGCTAGTGTGATTTCCTTTTTGGAATATTTCTTTTCAATAAAATTAGTCACTTTTTGGTATTCCCTCAAGATTTCCTTTATCGAGCGAGATCCTTCACGAGATCCTTTATCGAGCAAACACGCGGACTGAGACCAATGAACAGAAGTGAAAAAAAAATGGCGCTGCGAACTAATGTAACGTCGTATGCTGAGTTTTTGTTTGTATCGTGGAGCAAAAATATGTTCGAATTTCATGTCGTATCCTGAAAATTTCGTATGCTGGGGCGTTCGTATCCTGAGGTACCACTGTACTTTTGGTAATAAAAAATTTTAATTTATGAAAATTATTTAGTTTTTTTTCTATTTCTTATTTTTATTCTTGTAAATATAATCGAGCGATGCACGGTCTATACTCTCTGATCATCTTATTACGACAGAATGCTGGAAAAATTTTCAGAAAAATCAAATTATATTTAAATAATAGGCTTACTGTTTATTAATGAAACGATGCTAGAATTTATTCAGAATAAATTCCGATAATTTCGATATTTTTAAAATTTCTGTAGAGGTAACATGTTAGTCCAACATACATTTATACCAGATGACAAAGTGCTGTGACATTATCATGAAAGAAATCGATTTTGATAGTGAAATCCAGATGAATAATTGTTTGATTTATCTTCCGTATCTCTGTTTATTAAATTCATATCCATAAACGAATAGAAGGTTCTTATTTTTAGTTAAAACTTGTAGCGAATATTGTTTGTGGCGAGTTTCGTGGAATTCTTGTCACTCTACCCTTACCTGTACTTTAGTCAGGTGTCCAAAGGGTGGCGTAACTCACAACTATTGTAAAAGCTTGTACAGTACACTTATTCTGCTGCTCTCGTATGGGCTAAGACGTAAAATAAACTTGTCTTTGTTAATGTTAACATTGGGTTGACTAAATCATTCATAGTCTTGTCTCTATGCCATCTTTCTCATCCAACAAAACTTCTTATAATTAATAATATGAGTTGTATTTGATATCAGTGTAATCATAACTTTATCGGATGTTTTACGTTTATTCTGAAACAAATTTTATATATATATATTGATAATTTTATCAATATTGTAATCAGTTCACTGGAAGACTGATGATCAATTAGCATTAATTATTAATTAGTATTAAGTGTTTAATGATAAAAGCATTTATTCATACCTGTCGATTATTAACAAGCAGGCACTAATGTCTCATTAATTTATAAATGATGGGTTAATGATGATTATTGGTTTATCATTTTAAAATTATCCTTAAAATAAGGTAAGATTTTTTTTAAAAAAACTTTCAAAAAATTTTCAATTTACTTGCGACGTAAACAGCATAATTAAATCGCTAAGAATAATAGTTGCTTAATATTTTATAAATTTTTTCTTTATGTATTTTATCTCTTTTGTTGGTAGTCTACTATTTCTTCGGTATATTATTTTCTGTCTTTATTTTCTGATATTTTTAATTAATTTTGGAAAAAAATACTTTCTTATCGTGAAAATTCTAATTAAAGATGTCGTCATCAACCCTTAATCAGATTAATGTTTAAATTAATTCGCAAATATTTGAAAATCGTTAGTCGTAATTCTTATCTGTATGAGCTTTAGAAAACTAAAATTTAGTTTTATACTAATTTAAATATTTTATATAAATATACCTTTGTTCTTTCATCTAACAATAATATTTGGCATCTTTGACACTGCAGCAGAGATTGCGTGTGGGTCATAATTCTGTAAACAACGTGTTCAATGGTGCTTTGCTCTTCAAATATCATCCTTGCCAAATCTAATAACACCTTAAAAATAAAAAAGAACACTATGTAACTAAATATATTTAATGATGATTTATTAAATGATTGTATTTATACCTGATTTCTTTTATTTTCTAATTGGGATCGCTCATACAGTTGAGCATTTCTTAAACCTATTCCACAAAATTGCAGATACTGGGCAAAAACCTAAAATAATGATTCAAAATTAGAAAATTATTTGATGAATAATAGTTATATAAGAAAATATTTCATCGTAATTATAGGAAATCGTTATCTAACTCACCATTTCGTCGTCAACATTAAAGAAATCTCCCTTAGAACCGTTTTTGTTGATCACTTGAGCCACACCAATAACTTCCCCATCGATATCCATGAGGGGCATACATAACATACTTCTCGTCGTGTAACCCGTCTTCTGATCGATATTTTGATTAAATCTCGCATCCTTTTAAAGTAAAAGAAAATTCACTTTAATACAATATACATTCTGAAATAATGTAAAGAATATTCTATAAAGATTATGTCTGCTGTATATTCTCCAAGAGCATTAGATTTATTTAGTTTTCTGGTAAATGCATTCTTTATACATAGAAAATTTCTGCAAATACTTCCTAGAAGACTGCAATGCACACTTAGAAAAAACTTGAAAACAATTAAGTTTCGAAATTGGAAGTCCTCTTTTTAATGGGTTTAATCTCGAGAATCAGATTAATAAAAAAATAAAGTTTTAATTACATAGAAACTTTCCTCGTTAATGTAATTCAGATCCTATTAAATTTTGTAGAATTTTCTTTTTATATTAAAAACTTTTATTTTCTTTTTATATTAATTTTAAATATATGACATATATTTAATAATAATAATAATAAT